TTCCCTTTTTAGAGCCAAGTTTGCTATAATGAATGTTTTGAATTGTTTTGGTTCATAAATCAGTACAGAAATTGTTTTGTATTCCGTATGCAGTTTTCACTGTACTTAAAATAGTTTCTCATTAAAATAAGAAACAGTTCTTCCAGCCTCATAGGCTGAAAGGGGCCACTAAGGTCATTTAATTTCACCTCTCCTACAATGCCAATCCCATGTGCCATCCCAGCGCTAGTGCAGCCTCCAGCTGCTTTTGGACAGTAGAAGGCACGGTACTCCATAGAAAGGATATTCCTCCAAGGCTGTATCCACTGACAGGGAGATTTTCGGTTGTGTGTCTGTGTCACATCACAGGCAAACGTCTTCCTCAAAGTGCTGGATGTTTCCTACAATGGCTTTGGCAACAGTGGAGCAGCTGCCCTGGGGGAGGCTCTTAAAGCCAACAACGTGCTGGAAGAGCTCAACGTCAGGTGAGGCAGACTCTGGTCCTGCTGCGCGTTTGCAGCGGTGGGCAAAGCCCACAGCAGCCACTGGGATCTGCTGCCTGCGGGGTGGTGGGTGCGTAGGGCAGAGGGTGCGCTACAAAACACTAGCACTGCTGGTCTCATCCCAAATCCCAGTTCCTCCCCTTAAACTTGGGGTTGCTGCCGAGGGGCTGTGGGATGTGTTACGGGATGCAGGGGAAGAAGAGAGTTTGGGGGATTGCACAAGGCCTGGTAGGGGATGTTTAGGAGAGGAGCTAAGGGTGAGGGAAAGGGGTCCAGGTGCTCTGAGGAGTAAGAAGCATGGGAAAAGAGAGGGCCGAGGCGTGGATGTTGAGTGTTTCTGTCCCTGTTGATCAGTGTGGGCAGCCAGAGGCGTGTGTTGTGTACGTTTGTGTCTGTGCCTGTCAGAAATACACGGTCAGCCCCACTACTGGGGGCACGGAGCTGTGTGAGCCTCACTTCTATCAGCCGGTGGGATCTGGCAACTCCTCACTGCTTCCAACCTCCCGAACACAATTGTTTAGTTGGAAGGAGCTGCCCTAAATTCCCTCTGGATGTGACACGTTTTCAGTGGTGGGTGAAGCAGGAGGTTGCAGATCCTTTGCCTGAGCGATGTGAATGTGGAACACCTGCAGCCCGGTGTCTGAAACTGCCTTTTATCTGGTTTTAGCAACAGCCGTATTTCAGTGGAAGGAGCTCTGCACGTTGCCGCTGGCCTGAAAGGAAACAAGACTCTGAGAAGACTTAATGTGAGTAGCTTTCCTGGGAAGGTATTGGAGCCTCTTATGCATATTTAAATATCACTGATGCACGTATGTCCTGGATTGGAACCCCTTAGAACAAACCCACAGCAAAATCAGCTTGTCCCAGCCTGCCTCCTCCCGTGCTTCCCCGGTTCCAGTATCGTGTCGCTAAAACAGGGGGCTGATACCCAGCAGTTTCCTTAGTGAGCAGTGGTTTCTGTGAGCCTGCCACTGTGTGGGCTGCAGCCTGTCCTGCCGCGTCTTGCAGCATGGATAGCATCCTGTCTCTGCAGCGGTAGTGTCCAGTTCAGCGTGGTGGGTGGCACTGGGGTGGCTGCTTGAGAGCCCCTGGGCTGCTGTTACTGGCACTTGCAGTAAACCGCACTGGTATCCCACCCCCTGGGGACCACTGGTACTGTCAAGGATCATACAGTAACACCCATGTCACACATCCTCCTGCTGATTCTTTTCTGACTGCAGATGACCAGAAATCCCATGCAGAGTGAAGGCTGCTGTGAGGTCCTCAAAGCTCTACGGGCAAATCCTGGCACTGGCATGGAGAACCTGGACCTGCCAGTAAGTGTTCCACCAGAAAGAAGAGGGAAGGGAGGGAAGAGGTTGAATGTGTGGTGTATGAATAACAAAAGGCTGCCAGAGGGATTCTGCCTCTGGTGTTGTTGCTCTCCAGTGAGGACTGTCTGTGGAGGGAATGGCCTCTGACTTCCAAACGTGGACATGTCTGCATGTGCCCAGGCCCCACTTCAGGTGTTGGCAGCAGCTCCAAGGTGCATGAATGCAGCGAGCTGGGCATTGCTTAGGCTTTGGGCAGCAGCAGGGTGCGGAGGGAGCAGGGCTCAGCTCTCAGTGCAAAGGTACTGAGCACTGGGAGGGATCTGGCCACCTGTGAATTCATAAATTCCCCGGGAAGCTCGAGAGGTCTGCTCTGACGATGCACGTAGTTTTGGAAAGATTTCTGTCCCATTTCATTTTCCCATGAAGCCAAATGGCCCTTACATGGCACAGGAACTTCCACTTGGACATCTACCCCATTTGTGAACAGTGCCAGATCTGAGAAGTCAGCCCCCTGTTACCAGGTAGGTCTTAGCACAAGGCTTCTCATACTCCCTACCAAAGAGCATCTGGAGCAGAGGCTCTGTCTCGCGCCAGTAGCCACCTAAAGCCCTTAGGATCAATTAGCCAGCAACTGCTTTTAGTTTCTAAAAGGAGAAGACAGTTACTCAGTTGTTTATTGAGGAGGAATTTGTCTTGCCCAGCTCACACAATGTTGGTGACTATGTCTGAGGTGATTACACAAGATCTGTTCATAGAAGATGGAGGTTTCGCCAGTGGTATTAAAGGCAAAATTAACACACCAAAGTGTAGAGGTCTGCTTTAGGGTAGGAAGACTTGTACCTCAGCTCTGTGTTGACTGGATCACCATGGACTACATAGGGACGCTGTGATGGTGAGCTCAGAGGAACCAGTTGCTGTGCAGTCACCAGCATTTAATCAGGTGGATCTTGTTCTTAGTGACCCTTTGCTACGAACAATCCAGACGTCTGCCTTAGTTGATGATCCCTGAAATGTTGAGCCTTCCTCTGTCATTCAGTGCCTGTCCCTGGACCTCCTGCTTTCCAGCTGTTTTAACTTCTCTTCCCGTAGACCATTCTTCTGGGCTTACTTATCCATCCTGGCATTGTCCTGACTTTCTCTCCAGGTCTTTGTTTGCTTGTTTCTGACAGGGTGTTTTCCACCTTTATCCACTTTAGCTCACAGTCTTTTGGCCTGAGATCCTGTATCTTCCTTTGATTTCTGTGCTGCTTCACCATCACTTTAGCTCTTTTGCTTACCCTGGGAGCAGGATGCTGCTGCTTGTTGAATCTCATACCTGCCCTTAACATGGTGGTGTTGGCTAACAGCTCCAGATCTCGCAATCTTGTGTCAGAATTTTGTCTTTGGTTTGAGAGAGCACAGAATGTGTTGCAATATCTGTTTTCTGAGGGATGGTAAATCATACCATACGCTTACTTACCTGTAGTGGTTTTGCCCTCTAGGACATCCCCATGAACCAAGAGCTTGCAGAGCTGTGTGATGCTGTGAAAATACTTCTCCCAAATCTTCTTCTCAGACATGGTGGAAACACGAAGCTGCAGAGGAAAAGTCAATCAAAGGTTAAGCTTCAGACTCAGCCCAAAGTGGTGGGTAATTCCCAGAAGGCAGTGGCTTAACAGGAGTCTCTTTGGGCCTGCTTCTTCAGCATCTCTGCCCAACACCCCAGCACCACCCAGCCAGCCCATGACACAAGGACGTGCTGAGGCAGGATCTGTGCTGGTATCGGCTACTTCATCATTGCTGTCGCTTGGCAGTTTTTCTGTTTTTTCACTTCCAGATTTCTGCCACCACCAGCTCTGAGTCTCTTCCAGCACATGCAAGAGCATCCCCACGGATGGGTCCAGGGGCTCCTATTAAATCCTCCGTTTTGTGTGTAGGGACATTTGCCTGGTGGAACTGTAGCCACTGCTGGTGCTTGGATCCGTAGCCCACTGCAGTGGGGTCCGTGCAGCCCAAGAACACGCTTCTGATGTCAGAAGCAAAATTCTGTCCAGAGATGGACTGCGAACAAATGCTTTCTGGCTTGGGCTTGTTCTCCCGTTGCACAGCAGGGACTGCCTTTGCTGAATTGGCTGCCAGATGCACTGGTGACTCGTTGTCATCTGCTTCCCGCCACAGTTGCTGAGCCTCACGTGGAGCCCAGGCTCCCCGGGGTAGAGCCCCGGTCCTGGGCGATGACTGGTGGTCTGTTTTCCTGGATGCATTTTGACAGTGTTACGTAGGGATGGATACGACAAGCTGCCTGGAAATAGGATAGGCACTCGGCGGGGGTTCAGCAATGACAACGGCACATGGCATGTAACTGTTTTCCCCTCCCTGGGATGTTTTCTGTGATCCCAGTGGATTCTCCCTACGCTCTCTGGGACACCTGGGCACTGTGATTCAAGGAGGCAGGGAATTGTGAGCTCCTTGAGGAGCAGTGGGCAGGGGGGCAGGAATGATGGCTGTGCCCAAGACAGCCTGGCTTAACTCTCCCTCTCCTGGTCTCTGTGAAGACGTGGTTTCTTGCAGCAGTTTTCTTGCAGTTCGGGAGAGGGTTCGAGCATGGTCACACAAACAGCTCTGGATGTCTGGCTGGGGCTGGAGGCGCAGGCAGCTCTGCCCCACTGCCTGAACCTAGTTGTGGCTATACACAAGTAATTGCCTTGCGTTCCCTGAAGGTTGCCAGACCTGGCTGATAAAGTGCTCGCAACAGTCGGGGCTCCAGCCGGGCACGCCGGGTCTGTCCCCAGGCACGTCAGTGTGTGCCAGTTTGCGTTCCCTGGTTCACTGCCACGCCAGCTGAGGAGGTCTGGGGACATCCAGGCAGTGGTGACACCTCTCTGTGAAGGCAGGGGCCAGAATTTGAGATGGCTTCTGCCAGTCTCCTTCCAGAGCAGCTGCTGCTGCCCTGTGTTGTGCCTTACGCTTTTTTCCCCTAGACCAGAAGCATTATGATCTTGCTCACTTTCATATTTCATTTACCTAATAACTGTGCCTGCCAGTGAAATTGCACAGTGTTAGTTCTCAGCAGAAGATGCGATTTAGCCTCTTTATTTAAAAATAACTCTGTGCAGTTATGATTTACCTAATGGAGTCTGTCCTCTAAACGTGCAAATTATTTTACAGTTATGTATCTAATAAATAATGTCTGTGCCTTGGACTCGCGCCTGTCTGTTCACACCATTTGGAGAGCTCTCTTGCATGTTGTAAGGTCCGTAAATATGGGTTGTTTCTAGACATTTCAAAACCATCCTGACACCCCCTCAGTCTCTAGATGAAAAATTTGTGTGTTGAACACAGAAGCTGTTATGGGGTTTGCTTTAAATCAGTATAAGTACTTATATTTTAAAATATTTAGTCCCCATTTATTGTTTTCTATTACATCCTTTGCCCCTAGTCCTTCCTATGGTCTCCAAAGAAGAGATGCAAGTTAAAATAGTTTTAAAAATAAGGTGGGTAAAGAATTCGTACACCCCGAGTCCATCCTTCTTCACCAGCTGGTGTAACTAGAGAAGATCCACTTGCCACTGCCCTGACACATCGAGATTCATTCGTCACTGGAGTCAGAGCAGGGTGGTTTTTTCACCTAAGGATTAAACTCCATAATTAACAATCTATCGACGTACCATTTGGGAACCTGAAAATAGCAGGTGAGCCAGCGCTGTGTTACGGGGTAATGTAACGGGGCTCTAGATGTTGAACACTGCGTTGTCCTGCACCCAGGTTTGATGAGAGCAGGAGGTGGCTATGGAAAGCTGAGCGCTGGCTGCTGTGTGTGCTGCAGGGATCCCCCTCCCGGAGGGCTGCAGGGAGAAGGGGATCAGGCAGCCGGAGCCAGTCTGCAGGAGGTTTGGCGTGCGAAGTTGTTGGAATTTGCTGTGCTTTGGCAGCTGCTATGAGTTATGAGGAATTAACACATGGAGAGTTAAGCTGAGAGTTGTATTCCAGTTACACTGAAATACCAGTTATTCCCAATTTACCTGGCAGTCTCCCTAGCTGGTCCTCCGGACTCAGTTGTGCTTTCTTTCAGGTTAGGAACTAATCTTGGAATAACTCAGCAGAAAATTTGCTTGCTGAGTCCTTGTTCACGATGTCGTTTCCAGTACTGAGCCATTTTTTTCCTCTGTTATTTCAATATTGTTCCTGTTCCATTTGTTTACAGAACTTCCAGGTAGCAGTCGGGTGCCTTGTGGAAGGCACTATGGTACAACGGCACTGCTGCCTCTTTCCAAGCTCCTGACCCCACCAAAGCACGGACATTACACAAATCCTTGTTAATTGCCACTAATGATATTTTTTCCTTAATTCTTGAGCAGCACTTGTTTTGACCAGTGGCCTTGAATTTCCTCGCAACCCTTCACCTTTTTGAAGGATCAGCCAGCTTGTTCTCCTGCAGTGCTCTGGGACTTCTCCAGCTGCCTGATTGTTTCTGGAAAATGAGCATTAATGCTCATTAGGAACCTCACTGCCTAATTCCACATGAAACTCTTCTGGTGTAAGGTACGTAGGTGACCACAAAAGGCTTGGCTATAGTAGCTACTAATAAGCATCGCTTGGAGGCAGGGCTGGGGCAGAGGAGCATGCGACACGACTCCTGGCTTTCCCCTCGTGCAGAAGAGAAGGTTTTCATGAACATTTCCATCTCCTCTACAATATTGAGTGTCCTGCTGTGCACAAAGGTGCCTTGGCTCTTGTCCCAGCAAGGATCAGGGCTCATGGTGTTCAGTGCTGCCCTAAATTGCTTCCAGCCTAGTGCTGGAAGCCCGGGCAGGTGGGATCATGAGAAAGCAGCTATCCTTGCTCCAGAGGATGAGCAGCTCGCTGCAGCCCGTTCCCAACAGCATCTGATGGATGTTTCATAACCTCTCAGGCAGAGCTGTCCTCGCTGTGCGGAAGCGTTTCCAGTCTCTTGCCTAAATCTCCCTCGTGACAGTTTAAGCCTGTTGCTTCTCCTGTGCACGTGGTGAAGATTTATCGTCCTTACTCTTGTGGCTGCGTGGTTGGAGATGCCCGTCTGCTGTGTTCCTGTAACATTTTGGGTACCCCTGTGCTTGGTGCACCAGCTGCTGGCCTGACCGCCGGCGCTTCGGCAGGAACCCAGGGTCTGTGCCATCCTTTGATGCCCGCTGTTCTGCGCCCAGGGAAGGAGTGGGTACGCCGTTGTTGGCATCTCAGAGGAGAAGCACGGTGCTTACCTCATCTTCTGGCTGGATCCACAGGAGGAGGAGGGGAGGATGGCAGGGGATAATGAGAGGATTACTTACAGCCAGCCTTAAACGAGTCCTGCGGCTTGTCTGTGCCGCTTTCAGAGCTGGGGGGCGGGAGGGGGGAGGGATAATTTAGAAACACAAGGCTGAGAAGAGATTTAATTAGGACATGGAGCTGCTCTCTCCTGGGTGCCAGCCCACTATCCTGTTCCACTGCTCGGGGCTCCCCTTCTCCTCCCTCCAGCACGGACAGGGCTCAACCATGCAGCTGGGTCAGTGCCTGCTTATTTCAGCGTAGCATCTGTGATGAAACCGTCTCTGGAACACCCTTGGGGTGCACCCACGACTCCCACTCCCTGCGCTTGGCCGTGCGATCCC